CCGAAAATCGTCATAAAGCCCACCGATCTTCGCCCCCCCCCGCCCAATTTTCCCCCTCTGGGATTGGTGGCTACGACACAATCCCCCAATTCCGAACGGACACCCGTCAATTTTCAATTTTTTGCCTTCCGGTCGTCCACAAATGAACTCAAAACACAGACTCCTTGTCTCGCCGCAGAATTTGAAATCCTTTGGAGATCCCGGGGAAATCCCTTGGAATTTGGTACGCGCACGAATGGGAAAAGGTTTTTTGAATTGAAGGGCGCGCGTCTGGTAGTGAAAACCTTACCATTAAGGGGACGAGCAAGACTTTCCGACAGAGGAGCTTAACCGCGCTTCATGTCGCGGGTGCAACGAAAAACCCATAAAATCCTTGCATTGCTCGTCCCATTAATTCGGTTGTTCCCTTTTCCCTGAACTTCTCGAATATGTTGGTGCCGTACGTTAGCCCGCAATGCTCACCTGTAGTACAACCAATTTCCCCCAATCATCAAAAATCTGGATGAAATACCGTAATCCCCAGCCTCGCCTCAATATGGCCCGATTCAGTATAAATTCCAATGTTATGGTACAAGGCTCGGGCTAAGCTGAGGATGTCATCTTTTTCTCTCACTCACTATCTCTCTTTTTCGGGTGTGACTACGCATCATTCCAAATAACAGGGTGTAGGAGGGTAGATTGGAGGCTTAGAAGATTACAGTACTCCGGTAGTTCTAGATAAGTCGTTGGGGTGGTAGGATTTGTGGGTGGGACGGGATTAGGCCGACGGCAAAATTTGCATTAAACATCAAGTATTACGCGTAGAGGAACAAGGCGTAGGCGAGGGGTTTGATGACTAACTTTCGTGCTGATTGTTGATAAACGTTGCTTAAAATTGTAAACGAAGTAGAAAAATGTTTTAAAAGCCAGAAAAATACGAAATGGCAAAAATTAGTTATGATTATTATCGCGTATTTCTTTTGTTTCGACTCAAGGTTGAATTAGAGAGAGAGAGAGCGAGAGAGAGATAGAGAGCGAGAGAGAGAGAGAGAATGAGGGAGAGAGAGAGGGAGAGAAAAAAGAGAAGAGAGAGGTAGGGAGAGAGAGAGAGAGAGTGACCTAAACCGAGAGAGTGAGAGACAGCGAAAAAGAGAAAGAGAGATCTTTGGAACCCTTAAATTTCTGAATTCCCTCCCTATCACAGCAAACATTGTTCACTCATCCCCACAAATTTTCTGAATAAACCGGATTAATGCTAATAAGGATTCCATAGTTTTCCACTCGATTTTAAAAGTTGTTAGTTCCCCGTAAATCCGTTAATCAAAGGAAACCCTTGAATACATCAACCTCCTAAAAAACCGGCTTCGCACTTTTGAGGAGACGTGCTTTACTGCCCGTCTGTAATTTCCCTTATTAAATTCGGCGATTTTTGCGCCCCAGACAACATTTTTTTAGGGGAAGGGATGGGCGACGATAAGCCATCCCCCTATTAGGCAAATTGATTCCACAGACTCCAGTCTTTTTCGGGGAGTTTGTAGTTTACATTAATCCCTGCTCAGCGTCTGGACCTATGGAGCCGATTTTGTAGCGCTTAAGGGAGATTTTTCGCGGCTTGTTGAAAATCTCTAACGATTTGTAAATGCGCACATCTTTCCATATTATGCGAATTGGGAGCATCCTTAGGAATATAACGAATCCAGCCTGTTATTTTCGGAATAGAAATGATATGCTAATTTGCATAGAAAAATTCCGCACTCTTAGGTTTCAGTGCTTTTAATTTGATTCCCACAATAATCTCTGCTAGCTTACCCCGTTCTGGTCAATTTTGGGGCTATTTTGCATAGAAAATCTATTTTTCCCAGTCTTTTTCAAACCTTTTATTTTCTGGGCTTGTTGGTTTTGGGATAGCCAACGCCGCCAAGTATCTCTGCTAGGTTGCCCAGTTTGCTAGGTTCCTAATAACTTTTCAGAGGACCTAGGCAAAGGCCCGAAACCGAAAATTCCTGTTGTCACCACCCCTTTAAAAACACCCCACTCTTCCGGTACGAATTCTGTTTTGCTCCACCTCCTCCTGCCGCCCTATTTTCCAATTAACCCCGACGGTCCCTCCCAATTCGGAAGCCGAATCCGTTTTTGAGAGGTAGGAAGCCCTCAAAAAAGGCGATATTTTCGAATAGGCGTGTGTATGAATCAGGGCTTCTGCTCTCCTTTCTTCTCTTCCATTCCCAGGGCTCAAATCCTGGATGCCCCTAGCTGGCCCCCACTTCTCATCTTCACCACCCATCCAACTCAAAAACAAAAGCCCCTTCCCGGAGTCAATCCGGATTTCAATCTCGTTTCAGCTGGTTTATTTAGTGGGGGTCACCGCTTCGTTGTGTAGAATCGTCCGGTGGAGCAAGACGGAATTTGGAATTTGCCTCAAAATTCCGTTGCGTTCCGTAGACTCGCGTACTTTTAGGCGGCGGAGTCTGTCGTAGCCATCTCTAAAGCCCGAGCATTTTTTATATGGCGTTACTGTAACGTGGCTTACATTAAGCTAGACTTTTGCGTAGGCTCCGCTTAGCTTGGGCTTGGTTTCGGCTTAGCCTAGGCTTCGTTTAGGCTTAGGCTTAAGCTAGTTTAGGCTTAGACTCAGGAATAGGCTTAGACTTAGACGGCAACCTAAGCTTTGGCTTAGACTTCATCTTAGGTTTCGCTTACTTAAGCATAGGCTTACGCTTTTTTGTCGCATAGCTTTTAAAGAAACCGGAATTTGTTCAACTGGTTTATTAAATGAGCACCAAAATAGTTACGTGTAAATGACGCAAAAATAACCACGAGGCATCGTTGCACTTTTGCGAAACAATGAACAATGCGTAATTTAATTTTGGTACTGTCTATTGTCCCATCCCCCACCCACCCTAGCCAGTTCATGTCCGATTCCTGGCACCCGGCCAATTCGGGCGATTTTCCGGGGACGACCTTTTGGTGGGATGAGATTTTGGGATCCTTTCACGTCTGCATTTTTGAGTAGGCGGGCAGCGTGGGAAATTCTGCGGGGATGGAGGACAAATATTTTGGTATAATTTGGCGCCATAGTAATGGAAAATACCAGAAAACCGGTTGGTAGATGTATTCTTATGTGTTGAAACTTTATAGGTTCTTGGAAGGCCAGGTTGAGGCTTAGACTTAGGCTTAGGCTTAGGCTTAGGCTTAGGCTTAGGCTTAGGCTTAGGCTTAGGCTTTACGATACATAACTACACAAGGCTCCTATCCCTACGTGCTGTCAGCAGATACATTCCGTACCGTTTCCTGCCCCCCATCCCCATTTCCATTCATTTACAATTCGACCGAATGACACATCTTCCTCCATTCTCTTCCCCCGCCCCCTATTTTCCAATCCTTCTAATCGCCAAATCCGTGACACCCTTTCGGCCACCCCCTTGATCCCAAAATCCCCACCCAAATCCTTAATTTTGCCAGCATTTTCGATCTGAAGGCAGTGAAATTTCGTTTTTTGGCGAGATCTCTGTAAGTCGGGGAATTAAAGGGGCGGTGCCTGCAAAATTTTGGGCTCAACGACTCCGAGCGGAAGTGATCGGGCATGTCTAGTTCTCAGCCAACGAGCGCATCTCCTGGTTCCTCAAAGATCTCTGCTAGCTCGACTGATTCCCCAGATACCGAATCATAGTATCGCTGCAGTATGAAATTCCATGTTTTTAAAAATGAAGTTTTTTGCCGTAGGAAAGTGTATAATTTGAGAATACTGTAGAAAGAATAGCTCAGCCCTACTGTACGAACCTTTACTAATTCCGTCATATCGTAGTGTTACAGTAGGGCCTGTCTACCTTTCGATTGTCAGAATCAATTCTACGGTATCTTTTGCATCTTGTTAGTACAAAAACTTCCAAATTTCGCTATGTGTAATATCAGTTTTCCAAGTTTCTACAGTATCTTTTTCTGATTCTTCAAAATGTACACCCGTCGTCACCCGGTGCTGGATCCCTAATCTTTGCTCGCGCACCCCTAGTACCGTACTCCTCTCCCCCGCCCACCCCAAAAAATGTCGGGTTTCTACGGCTTCCGCTCCCCGCCTGCGGCAACAAAATATTGTTTGCCGTGCGTGGCCGTTGTAGTTGGTGATTAGACAACGAGCCCCCGGAATTTATTTATTTTAATCGGATGATTAGGGGGCCACACATCGGACGGTGTTCGGTTTGTTTCGCTGGGCTCCAGATTAGGAATAGGTTTAGCGTAGAAGACCTAGCCAAAGAAATGAATTAAGTAAATTTTGGGACGCGTATGACGCTTTTTTCGATTTATATTAATAAAGCGTTTCCTACGTCTCGATGCTGTTTACACAACGAAAATCGGGTTTTTTTTCAGGTAGCCTGGTCGATGGAGGCACAAATGGATGTGCCGATCCACGTTGTCACCACCGTCTACATTATCACATTTTTGATCGGCGTCCCCGGAAACTGTTGGGTCATCGGGAATTTGTTGCGAAATCGGTGGGTTTGGTATTTGGTTTATTAAAAAAAAAGAAAAGTGTGGATTTTTTGAGCAATAATGGCTTATTTTCGTCCCCATTCTTCAAAATTTCGAAAATCGTTTAGTTTCTCTGGCTTTTAGATAGTATTTTTACTTTTAACATGGTTAAATTTCGCCAGAGACGCTTGATATGCCATTATTATTTACCAGGCATTTTTGCACATCGAAACACTTCCTCCCCCGATAATGCAAAAGCGCGAATTAGGATGATGTGGAGCCTGAATGTTCTCATCAGAATAGCTGAATTGTATTTTGTAGCTGGTCTTTTGCAAAAAATCCGAGAGTTGTTAGTAGGTTTCTGAAAAAGTAATCTAAAAGCCAATCGTCACTGTCCCTTTAATTCGGTTCATTCCAGCCTATGGTCAACAGGCGGCACGCCCCACTCTCCCTCGCATCGTTCTCGTCTGTTCATCTTCATCCTGGCCATCTCAGATCTTCTTCTCCTTCTTACCATCCCGTCTGCCGTCCTATTCATCCAAAAAGCAGATTGGATGCTTGGATCTGTGGTAAGAAACCGAGCAAATTCCATCAAATCCCCTGTCCTCCTCTAGATCTGCCACATCCACCTAGCCGTCGACATCTTCGCCAAGCTCTTCTCCGTCGTTGTCCTCACCGCAATGAGCCTTGAGCGATATTTTATTGTGTGTACCAGGTACCGTACTCCTTAAGAGTGAAATTGATTGATTTTCTATCTTCCAGGTGGCGCCACTCTTTCAACAAAGGTCTGACCACCGGGGTGCCGATGTGCATCTCCCTGATGATGTTCGTCATCGTGCCAATGATCGTGCAGCTCTATTATACACGTGTTATTGACATTCCGTTGCCGATTCCGGGAACGGTAAGTTGGTGTTGTAGTGGCCTTTAAAGGAATACTGAAGGCAGGGCAGCGGAGCGTTGTGTCGCAGGCTAAGCCTAAAGCATAAAGCTAAGCCAACGCCTACGCCTAAACCTATGCCTAAACCTAAGCCAAGACCCCCATTCAACAACATCTTTCCAGGAGCAACTGCCGCCCGACCAACAAGAATACCAAATCCACCGCATCTGCGTGCCGCTGATGAGTGACGAGCTGTTCAACGCCTTTGCCCACTACATGTTCTTTTTTGGGTACGGTATTTTGGAGCTACCGTAAACTACCGTAATACCAATCCGAGTTATTGTATTTTTTGCAGTTTCCTCGCGCCTCTAGTTATAATGACGGCGTGCTACATCCTGTTGATGCGCCACGTGCGCCGGAAGTTCAGGATGCGCTGTGAAGCTGGTGAGTACGGTATCTCGAATCCGTGAAAATACCGACATTAAAATCCCGACATGCAAATTAGCGTCTAGCGTCGTGTCGGGATTTCGGTATTTTACGCTTTTCTCTTCTTTCGCTATTTCGGTTTTTGCCTAGTAGCTATACCGGAGTTCCGGTGACCGGGTGCCTAATTTTCCGTTTGAGGACAAAATACAGCCCGGTTCGGAGGGTTTGCTCGGAATTTCGAACGGCTTTTCCCCCCAAACACCGGCGAGGAGGGATTTTTCGGATTTTCGGGGCTTAACACTCAAATCCGGCGAGTCAGATGGCAATATTGGTGGCGGATGGGACAAGATTTTTGGGCAAGATTATGGGCAAAAAGGGTACGGTAGGCCGATGCGGCCCCCACGCAATCCTGTACTGATGCCCAAACAGGGCTGCCGACCACCGGCGGGGGCCTAAAAAAGCGGAAGTGCGTAATGGAACGGATTAAGGAGAGAGCGAGAGAGAGCGAGAGAGAGAGTGAGCGAAAGAGAGAGAGATATGTGTCCTTTTGTTGCATTGGTATAATGCGTACCTTGACATTTGAGGGTGCAGGGAAGCCCCTGCAATATAGGGGGAAATTTGGGGATTTTACTCACCTGGGGAAGCCGCAAATAGTAGGGGGATTGGATTACTGATATTTGTAAAGTTTTTCTGATGGGGAAAGTACAGAAGAAGAATTTTTGAGACATTGGGTCCGCAAAATATTTTTAAAGCTAAAAAAAGAGGTGCTAAGCAGCTGGCGGGTCGGTTTTTTAGCTACAATACGCTTCAAATTACGTTTAAAACTCTAAGCTTATGTAATGGCATGAAAACCGAGAAAAGCTGCTATACAATACCCTTTTTATGCCATCAATATACCCTAACGACCGGATTGAATTCCAGGCGGTGGTACCGGGCGCAGCATCCGCGAGCCTCGCTATATGGGCGAGATGCGGAAGAGCATTTGGAGGGTTGCCATCTACCATTTCGTGTGCTGGGCCCCATTCTGGGTGTTCACCATGACGCCCACGTTTATTGGTATGCTTTAACACATTCAAAAATATGTCACTATTTATTTCACTACAGATTTTGCCACCAAAAAACACAAAAATCAAAATTAATTAAAAATTCATGTTTTTACTATTAAAAATCGCGTTTTTCAGTGAATATGGAATTAAATGCACCGTGGATGGCGCATCCGATCTGGAGGGCCTTGCATCTTTTTGTTAACATTTTGCCGTCAATTAATGCGGCTGGTGGGGTTTTTGAAGATTTCGCTCTCTCTCTCTCTCCCTCTCTCTCTCTCGCTCTCTCTCTCTCACCGTCTCTAATCGTTCTCTATTTCCAGGCAATTGGGTGCTATATGCGGTCCTGAACAGTGATGTCCGTCGCCATCTCTACCTTGGCGGCCAGCCAAAGAAGAAGAAGTCGACGGCTCTTCTATTCTCTTCAATGACCATCTAGAGTGAATTAATTATATATTTTTGCTTATATTTTTGTGATCTCATTGCTCAACCTGTTATCCTGGTCCCTTCCATTAATACGTCGTGTGGATACCTTTTTATGAATAAAGTTGAAAGAATTAGTCAGTAGCGATTGAGGAAAAGAGAGCGAGAGAGAGCGAAAGAGCGAGAGCGCCAAAGCGAGATAGAGAGAGAGTGAGCGAGAGAGAAAGAGAGAGAGAGAGAGAGAGAGAGAGAGAGAGAGATAGAGACAGACAGACAGATCGAGACAACGCGAAACTTTTGGGCCAGATCCAGGTCTCTTTTCGGGGCCCGATTCCCATCGTTCGCCGGGAATTGAAAATTGGAAACAGCTGTGGCGATTTTGGCTTTTGCCCTGGGGGCATTCCCCCTCATCACTTATGAGACGGACTGGCCGAAGAAAAACGTTTGATTCGGAAAGGGGGCAGCTGACCCCGCGGTCTCTCTACCATCACCATTCCTCGGTTCAACCTCAAAAAGTTGCCATTTCCGCTGGCTTCCGTGGGCTTTCACTTCGGGCTTTAGGCTGATGTGATGTTGCGCAATAAAATAAGCTGCAACATATGATGTTGTGTTCTACGTCTATCTAACGCTCTCTATATCACTATCTCACTCCCGCCCCTCTCTCACTCTCTCTCTCATCCTCTCACGCGCATTCTCTCTCTCTCTCTCTCTCTCTCTCTCTCTCTCTCTCTCTCTTTGTCTCTCCCTATCTTTCGCTCTTACGCATTCTCGCCCTGTATCTCTCTCTTGCTTTCTCGCTCTCTCTCTCTCGCCCTCTCTCTGGCCCTCTATCTCCCTTTCTCTCTTTTTCACTGAACTCTTTGCAGATGTCGGCTCGTAAATTGAGCATCGCTTGCCTCGGCTACATGGCCAAACGGAGAAAGAGCAGCGCCAGACGGTTGGTTTCGCCAGAGATCGCTTTTCGGTTTTATTTTTTAAGTATAATAGTAAAATATCTTAACAGTTTTTGCATAACAACTACAGCTAAATTTTATTAAAACACTATTAAAATAAATAGGCGTTTCAAGTTTTTAAAAATTGGATTATTCCCCCTGCCCCCCGATAATGCCAAAGCACCCCTCAACTTAACCGGTAACCGCTCAAGTTGACCATAGGAAAAGCCCCCCATTTGGCGGATAGACACAGTGGCCACCCCTCGCTAACAAAGAAAAAGCCCCGTCTGAAATGGGCTCATATTACTCAGCTGTTTCCGAGTCAGTCTCCCCCTCTATCTCTTTCTCAGAAGAACACATGTGGATGGGGTCTCCCCCCTTTCGTTCTCTGTTTCCTAAATATTGACCTCGACCCATCATTCCTTATCCCTTCTGAATTCCTGACTAAAAATGAAGCGCCCAATATCCCTCGAAAATCTGACACTTCTGGATGAAAAGGGCGATTTGTTGAGGTAGATTTTGTCACCGAATTATTTTTTATAGGCGTGAATCAAGGAAATGGAGAGAACCCACTTCGAAGGCTTTGAGAGCTTCACAAGTAAGTTATCAAGCTTATGAAGCTCGGCCTAGTAAATTCAGGCGTAACAGTTATATTTTAAATTTTTAAGATTTGAGACTTGGTTTGGCTTAGGCCTGGACTTAAGCTTTAGCCTACGCTTAGTTTTGAGGCTTAGGCTTAACTTTGGCTTGGCGTAGACTTAAGGAGCATTAGAACAAAATTAAAGCATAAGTTTCCAGATCGAAATGAAGTCTTCGTCATTGCCAGACGATGATATGACCGCGCAGGCGATCCAGGTGAGACGATGGGGAGAGAGGCAGAGAGAGTGAAAGAGAGAGCGAGAGAGAGAGAGAGAGAAAGCGGCTACACTTCCAAAACTTTTTTTACAAAGAAAATTCTCTTTATTTGCTGACGATATTCTGTCTTCTTTTCTGCACTCATGTTTTAGTTCCTCGCCGACGCGCTCGATAAGGGCGGAATTGAGAACGACATTGCCACGTTTATGAAGACGCAATTTGAGACGAAATACGGTAGAAGTTTGCCATCAATTAGACCAATCTATCTTTATTTGCAGGGCACAATTGGAACTGCATTGTTGGGCGGAACTTCGGGAGTCATTTGTCGTGTTTGGAGCATGTGCATTTGTGTGTTTCGAAAATATCGGTATTGTTGTTCAGATGTGATCCTGGATAGGATGATAAATATTCCATCTAATGATAGTTTAGACAATTTGTGTACAAAGAGAGGACAGGAAGGCAGAGAGTGAGAGAGAGAGAGAGAAAAAAGATATTTTGAAGTTTACCGTTTAAAAACAAACCGGAAGCAAATTCTACACACTACGAAAAAATTTCTAAGCTCAACTTTAATCCTGTCACGCTCCCTTTGGATCTTCCCTTCGATTTTCCTGTAGTTTTAATCTCATCAATGCGGTTTGCTCTTGCACTACCCTTGACAAAAGCCAAAATCGCGACAACGTTACAGTCTTTCCCCTCGGAATCCGCTGTCTGACAATGAGAACCGGGTCCCTGCCACCGTCCCGAGCCATGTGAATCCAATTAGCATTTCCTCGCCTGCCCGTGGAACCTCGCTGGTTGCCTTCAAAAAATTTCCGCTAGCTACCAACAGCATTCTCGAAAAGCTCGGCCGGGATGCAGTTGACTTATCGTGTATTTTTGGTGGCCGAGAATGGGAACGGGACCAAGTGAGTTTCGAGTAGAATTTTGGAGCAATACACTTCTGATTATGCCTTGAAAGTTATTTTTGATTAAGGTCGTTTTTTAGCTTACATTTAATGAATATCTCCTTTTTCTAAGCTCTCGAAACCCGGGAAATTTCGAGGGGACGAAGTGTGCGGATGGGCCGTAATCAATCATCCCCAATTAGACAGGCGTTGGACCCAAGGGAGGGGCCTTGGTTAGAGGGGAGAGAAAGAGCTTCCACCTGAGCCTCAGGCTCCCTAGCTATTGCTAATCGGCCGTCACGCTCATTTATGCCTCAGCATTTTCGGAACTTTGCGTTTTTTACCTTTTATGCCGCACTCTAGATTTACGAGAGAGAGAGAGAGAGAGAGAGCGAGGGAGAGGGAGTCTGAGAGCGTCTCCATCCCTTTAAATCCGACCTTCTTTATTTACCGAACTTCCCTTTTTTGCGCTTTGCTACAACAACCCTTGCTCCAGAAACCAATCTCATAAAAACAGCTGCCGGGCCAGATTCTAAACGGCACCCAATTACGAGGTACAACACCGTAGCCCTTTCCGGGTGGGACCATCCCATCGTGTCAATCTGATCTATCGTTGTCAATAGATTGGATGCGGGCCCAAGTTTAGGCCATGCTCTCTCTCTCTCTCTCTCTCGCTCGCTCGCTCTCTCGCTCTCACGCTCTCTCTCTCCATCTGGGTCCTAAGGCCCCCATCGTCCCATCTATCACCTTCTCGGCTCCTTCCATACACACAAATCCCTCAACATACACCACACACCCCAAATAGCATAGCATAACATTCGTGCATATTGTTCACGTTATTACATAGCTTCTATTTCTTGAGTTTTGTTTATTTTCGTATAAATTTTTGATTAGGAGAGTCATCACCATTTGTTGAACAGCCAAAGTAAGCTAGCAGTGATCATTTAAGCGCCAAAGATTAGGGAACCAGGAGCATCACTTATGCTTATGTATAATCTTAAGCTTAGGCTTAGGCTTGGGCTTGAACTTGATCCAAAACATTCACACATAGGGCAAACGAGCCGATCATCTCGATTGCCGCATCCGGATTTCCTGATAGATCGTTCTATAGTTACTCACTCTCTCCCTCTCACCCTTTCTCGCTCTCTCTCTCTCTCTCTCTCGCACTCTCTCTCTCTTCCCCTAATCTGGCATGTAACAGAGCTTCCCGTCCTCTCACAATTAAATTTCCTCCAACTGCCCCCCGGACTGGAGAAAGAAGGGTTGAAGCTCGGAAAAAGCCGCCCTTCGACCCCCAAAAGATGTGGGTAGTATTTTCTAGGAACCTTTATTTGTTTTTTTGACTGCAAATATACTTTCTAACTCGCCAGTTTATCGAGAGACAAAGAGCGAGACACAGAGAGAGAGAGCGAGAGAGAGAGAGAGAGAGAAAGCTACTTTTTCAGACCCCAAAATCAGTTGTATCTGAATTCTCCCTTCTCTCTTTGTGTGGTCGATAGGATTTGTCACGGCAGATTAACCAGGCCTCCCCCTTTTTTCGATGGGCCGATTTTCTGCGCCGCAAAATAGCGATATTTTTGTTATTTTTAACTCCACATCTTCCAAAAAAATTGTATAATTTAGGATGACATTGTCGACAAAGACGTCCGATCCACCGCCATCTTCCAACGAGGCCTATGATGACTATTTTGTGGATTATAAATCGAGTAAGTCCTGGTTTTTAATTTTTGATACCTACTCTCTCTCTCTCTCTCTCTCTCTCTCTCTCTCTCTGGTTCGCTCTTCCGCTGCCCGGCAAAGAAGAAACGTGCTGGATGTCATGCAAGATCCAGAGTTTTCAAAGCATGTTTTGAATGAAATTAATTTTACCTGATAATAGAAGCGTAATAAGCATATAAAAACCGCCCCGATTCCACGTCGTATTCAATCATCGGTCCCGAATAGAAATTGCGGCCGGCGGGCGGGTGAAAATCAAAAATTCGTCGGAGGTGTCGGGGGGTTGTTGGCCGGGGTGACACCGCGTTTTTCGGGGCATTTTAGGGAAATGGATAGAATAGATTAGCCATGGTCGGGCTGGCAAAACGATATTCAGACCTTCTCTCGGGTTGGCTATAATAATATTGGCTGTCTTGTGGGGTTGGGTAGTGTTATTCGTTGAACCGGTTTAGGATAACATTTAGTTTTTCTCTCGCTGTCTTTCGCTCTCTCTCTCCCCATTTTCCCATACAGTTCCACTTCCGCTTCATGTCTCCGTATACGGCATTAACACCTAGCGCCACACCTCACACGAGCGGCCAATTATGTGTGAGATGGCTGGGGGAGAAGCCCTTTCCCCTGACAATGCCCATATTTGCCTACAGCCACTGGCTTCTCCCTCCCGGGAATCATTTTGATAAGGGGCATTTTATTATTCTCGGGAATGGGAGGAGGAATTCCGGAAGGAGAGAAAGAGAGCGAGAGAGAGAGCGAGAGAGAGAAAGAGAGAGAGAGACATTTCTAAAGGGAATGGGAAGGTATTTGCCCTCGGGTTATGGGATGCTTTGGGGGTTGGCAATATTTGTTTTCCAAAAAACCAAGGCAACACGTAAGAAATTTTAGAGAGAGATATAGATAGAGAGAAAGATAGATGTATCCAAATTGGCTGCAAAACCTTTTGAAAACCCCAGGCCATATCCCCTCCATTCAAACTTCCGTTCCCGCCGTAGAAAACCCCTGGAGCCCCATTTTGAGCCCGCGCTCCTGAAGAAAGAAGTTTCGCTCTCCATTTGCTGAGCTTCTCCTCCTCCCCTCCTCTTCATCCCCCTTCTCTCCCCTCTTCGCTTTCAAATTTGGCACCCAATTCGCGTGGATCTCCAGGAGGACGAGGAGCAGGAGAAGGAGGAGGAGAGGAAGAGGAGAAGCTCTAGAATAGAAAAAAATTCGGCTTTCCCCACACATTCCCATGCACAATTTATTTACACGCTGAAATAGGGTCATTTATGGGGTGCGGGGGTTAGATTGGTTTTTTGATGGATTTGACGGGGGAATTTGGTTTCGCATCCGGTTTTGTATTAGTAGCGAAGAGGTACTGAATTTACGTTTAGAAGATTGATTAAAAAATAAGCCTATTGGTTTAGGCTTAGGCTTAGGTTTAGGCTTAGGCTTAGGCTTAGGCTTAGGCTTAGGCTTAGGCTTAGGCTTGGGCTTAGGCTTAGCCTTAGGCTTAGGCTTAGGCTTAGGCTTAGGCTTAGGTTTAGGCTTAGGCCGATGCTCAGGCTTTGGCTTAGGCCGATGCTCAGGCTTTGGCTTAGGCTTAGGTTAGGCTTAGGCTTAGGCTTAGGCTTACGCATAGACTTAGGCTTAAGCTTGTTAGGCCTAGGTTCAGGTCTAACCTTATTTTTAGGCCTCTCTCTCTATTCATATTTATATTAACTCATTTAAGAGTGACGACATCTTAATAATAATTTGTTGCTGATTACGCTTAGCATTAGGCTCAGACTTTCAAAGAGTCCTAAAATGAGGTCCGTCTGATGCTTATCTAGTGAAAGTAAATGTGTTACACCCCAAAATCGAGGTGGCTAGCCCTACCTTTTCCACACCTTGTGATCGGATCTTCGGATCTCCCCTCTTGGCGGTCTCCTCCCCTCCTGCTTCACATCTGGTGCTCAGATCGCAGTAAATTTCCTCGAGCTCCCCGGATCTCTGTGGGGCTCCATGCGGTAGATACCCCTTCGCTCTTCCGTTTTATCCGGGACACGTGTGTGGCGCATTTCTCGTTCTCACTCTCCCTCGCTTTATCTCTCTCTCTATCTCTCTCGCTCTCTCTCTCATTTTCCGGAATCAAAAACGAAACGTGCCGGATGTCAAGCATAAGCCCGACTTTTCGTCATTTCGGAGCGCAAACACATCTGGATCTTGTGCTTGAAACAGGCTAGCCAATAAAGAAACATCTGTCGACTTTCCGGCGGAGCTTCACGAAGCTTTTGATTGCGTCGCGTGTGCGTCACGACTGAATAGCTTACAAATTATTTTCGGTCATTTTTTGATTAAATTTATCTTATTCGAATTGTCGGTATTCTGGCTGTCGATATTTTGCCATGTTTCTTTGTTTTGTTTTGTTAGTCCTCGAGCGGGATTTTGGCTTTTTAACTTTTCGCTGTCGGTATTTTCGCCTGTCGGTGTTTCGGAAGTCAGTATTTTAGCTATATGGATTTCGGATGTCGGTATTTTGGCATTACCGTATGAGGAAGAGTTGCATTCTTTCCCGATTTTCCCACAATAACCCCGTAGACTAGACCCCCCTTTGCAAGACCACCCAAAATTAGCATGCAACATGCCATAAATCGGGGGCCCATAAATTCGGGGAATCCGAGGGGGTGGGGGAGGAGTCCTCTAGGGGAAAGGGAAGTGACGGAAAGATGGCCTGGGGCTATGGAATATAAGGGAAAAGAGGGGGACAGGGAATAGAATTGATAAGATGACGATTTCCCGGGGATTTTACAACCCCGGCGAGGGCAATCATGATCTCGGCGAGGGGAAATTCGGGTTACAAATCTTGATCGGGGATTGACCTCTTATAGAAAAGAAGGGAATAGTGGCACATTTACAATTTGGGCCTAAATACGTGGGGTTGTAAATGGTAGGTGAGTTGTAAAGGTTTCCTTTATTATCGTTTATTTTATTTTATTTTTTGGCATCTGACTAGGTGATGATGCTATATTTTTTGGCAATTTTATACGTAAATAGTTTATTGAAATTCATTAAAGGGATTGTGAAAATCTGAACAACCAAAATCTGGACAGCCAAAATCCCGAAAACCAAAATCCCGACAATCGTGATACTGGCAGGCAAAATGCCGACAATCAAAATCTCGACAACCAAAATTTCGGCAGGGGTAATCCTGACACCAAAATACCGACAACGAATAGTTTTCAACGCTAATTTGAATCCACTTTTTTAAAGAGCCATTTTGCAGGTCACGATTTTGACTGTCGGGATTTTGGCCTTTCGAAATTTCTGCCGTCGGATTTTTACCTTTTCCTCTCGTTCACGTTCGTCGTTTTCCGGACCCTATTGCTAGTTATTTTTCTGTTATCATCTGTCTTTGGTTTGGTCTAGCGCCAATCCCAAAATTTTTGCCCGCCACAACTGGTAACCATTTTCTACCGCAATCTCTGCCCAAAATCTCGGCGATTGTGGGGGTTTGCATGCTAATCTGGGAGGTATATCGGCATCCTCTCCCCTCCACCCCCATCCGTCTTTTCGAGTCAACTCGGGGAAGGGGCGGAGCCAGTTGACCCCGCCCCCCTTTTTCCCCTTTTCTCCCTTCTCTGTCTCTTTAATCGGCTTTTCTGTCCCTCCCCTCTCACTTTCCCGCCCCCAACAATAGTGTTCCTCCCCAGCGGTGTTCCGAGTTCGAGCTGTTTTGCATATTAGCTGCTATGATTTTATATCAATTACAGCTATATTCAGCAACTATTAATGCACCTCTATAGTGCATTTCTCAAAATGATTCTCTATATATATTTTTCAGTAATGGAAGAGGTGGTGGTCGTAGAAGGGCCCTCATCCGGTTACGTCGTCAAAAATCGACCATATCTTCTGAGCTGCAAGGCGTTGAACGCGAAGAAGATTCGATTCAAGTGCAACTCCAAATGGGTAAGTAGGACTTAGGCTTATGCTCAGGCCGATTAGGCTTAGGCATAGGCTTCAGCGTCTATTAATCTATAAATATCGATACCTTAAACTCACTTTTCCTTTCTTTCCTTTCCTTGATATCCTCTTGACTTTCGGAACCCTTTAAAGGCCTTTCACATCTATTCAACTCTCAAGTACAGTGCTGACCCGGTGCCCAACACAACAATTGAGGGCGTATTGTGTATACCAGTGGGGCTGTGGATATGTTATGCCTTGATGGTTTCCTCATTCAGCGTGTACCCAGCTGGCCACACTTTGTATCTAGCACTCGCTCTCTCTCATTCTCTCTATCCCTCTGCCTTTCGCTCTCACTATCTTGCTCGCTCGCAAAATGCGCCATCAAGTTTGTATATAAAGCTTTAACCCTAAAGCTTGTCCCACTGCTCCCTATAACCTTTAGATAGGGAAATCAAAGCTTCTCTCTGATCCCCTATTCCCTTCTATACCCCTTTGCGGCCGCTGATCCGTTGTGCAAACGTTTGTTCCGCGGGAATCCCCCCTCGAAACGGTGTGTGTCTGTTATTGCTGCAGGGGATTGCCCCCTCGTGCGATTGATAAGCGGCACCCTTTTAGCGGAAGATGCTCAGAAATCTTCTGAACACTCAGTTCGGTTTGAGCAAGAGCGAGAGCGAGCGCACGAGCGAGCGAGCGAGCGATGCTTAAAATCCTAAAAATTAACAAAGCTCTTGTAAATTTTAATCTGTTTAAAAACAATGATAAAATCATGTTCCTGTGTGTTTGGTGGTATGGCAAGCTGCTTCTTCTCCTCCTCCCCATCTCCTGCTCCTTCCTTCCACTATGGACTTTTGCTGCTAGCGCTCCCCAGGGAATGCATTCTGGTGCCCCGACAGACATTCGACCCCCTCTGGAATTATTACGAATCGCTTTTTGAAGCGCTGGGGGGATAAAGTTTGAAGCGAGAGAGAGTGAGAGAGAAAGAGAGAGTGAGAGAAGTAATCCTACAAAACATGATTTTACTTTAGATCGACGAATCGCGAATCGAGAACAAGCTCGGCACCGACCCATCCACCCAAATGGCATTTATGGAAGGCCGTGTAGAGATTTCAAGGTATTTCTGGTTTTCGTTCTTCCCGTTACAATGCAAAATACATCGTACAAAGCAGAATTTTGCATATTTTCAAGACCAAACCTTTTAAAGAAAACAATGACCCCGATTCCAGAGCCGAAGTCGAAGCCGGGTTCCCCATGGAGGATTTTTCGTGCCAGTGCTACGCGAGCAGAACCTCTGACTCCGATGTGGTCCGGTCGAATCCGGCACGCGTCAAGCCGGCATGTAAGTTTTTATTGAATTTTCTTATTCGTACCTTATGTCTACATTCTCTTTTCCTGTTTAACTTGATTTCTAATTATTTCCCGCTTCAAAACATTGAGTTGATTTTTGGAAATGCCATCCTTTTTATTGAAAAATTCCGTTTCCATACGATTCACGGGGAAACGCGCTTAATTTGATCGTAAAACCGTCTTGGTGCCTGGGGTCCGGGGGGTATAGGGGGCCATCATATAGACCCCCTTGCCACCTTTCAATACGGCCAAAAGGTCACCACTGTTTTTCTCTGTCTCTCTCGCTTTCTCTCTCTCTATCTCTCTCTCTATCTCGCTCTCTCGCACTCTCTCCTTTGGCTTTTCTTCTGAATGATTTACGATTGGGAATTCAGTGACATTCGTTGTTTCTAGTGGGGCTTAAGGGGATGTAGGCAGTAAGGATCGAGGATCATGGAGCTAGAGAGAGAGAGAGACAGAGAGAGAAAACGAGAGAGCTATATGCATCCCTAACCCGAGGCACGTTTTAGAAATCTCCCGATTTTAGCACCACCCCGCATCCGTAAGATCCATACCCGCAGGCCATCCCACTTCCCAGCCCTCCAAATGCCCGAATCGCCGTTTTTTGGCACCCAATCATCGATCAGATTAGGCGGCCCCGTGTCAAAACCGTGTCATCCCTGGGCGCGGAAGGGAAATATTTGGGATTTATCTAGGCGGGTCGACCCTTTAGTCATCAAGCCATTTAGGTCTCGGTGAAGGCTAGGAAAAACAGTTTCGCACTGATTTATGGGGCGTTTTGGCCGGTGGTTTATGGTTTTTGGCGCGTTGTCGACGTCGGGCAGGGCTTTGATGATTGTTAATTTGAATTTGGGAAGAACAGAGTGGCTCAAAAAGGAAAAAACCTTACAGATACTCACAAAATTCCATTTTTTGGAAAAACATAGCTCTTTGGACAAACAATTTCCGTTTTCTTTAAAGCTCAACAAATTTATTTTTGGCCCTTAGCTTCGAGGGGTTCCGCGCACACCACCTGACGGTCCAGCCCCCCTGGCCACTGCCAACACACCTCACCCCCCTTCGTGGCCCCCAATTTATGGATGATTTGGCCACGATTTTTACGGAAATTTATGCGCGCTCAGGTGGAACAGCTGGCTTCTCGACGGAGTGGCTTCAACATTTGAGACAGTGTGTTGCTTTTAGAGCTGATGGGAAGGTTGTAAATTGGGGGTCAATAGGGATGTAAAGGTGAAGCTCAGGTGAACAGAAGCCTCAGCGAAAGCTAGACTAAGCCTAAGCTAAGCCTAAGCTAAGCCTAAGCTAAGCCTAAGCTAAGCCTAAGCTAAGCCTAAGCTAAGCCTAAGCTAAGCCTAAGCTAAGCCTAAGCTAAGCCTAAGCTAAGCCTAAGCTAAGCCTAAGCTAAGCCTTAGCTAAGCCTAAGCTAAGCCTAAGCTAAGCCTAAGCCCATGCCCAGATCTATAGTTCACCGTGTCGAAGCCCACTTCATCTTGTCGTTGAAATCCCAAATTCAGCCCCAATTTGAATCCCTCGTTTTTCCCAACCAGTTCCGGCGCCACGCAGTCGTCGTTGGATGCCCTCGGGTGCTATTTGTGTGGCATGCAGGTGGTCGGCTGTGGGTCTGTAGGAGTCGTGTGTAATCCCGGGTAGAGAAGGGGAGGGGATGGTTGGTTGGTTGCGGGTTTGACACTTCCTGCAGTCTCTCTGTCCGTCAATCATCCGACATCACGGGCAAGGGGGGATGGGCTTGTGAATAAATAAGGGGAGGATAAGGTGAAGCCAAGACGGGAGTTGGGAGCTAGATCCGAAAGTAATTTTTATCGCTGTTCTTGGATGCCTTCGGTTCTAGAAAATAGACACTTTGAGCTGGGAGCTGGGAGCTGTTAGCTAAGAGCTGGATCGAAAAATCGTATTTTTGTTGGTTTTCTCTTTGCAGCTTCTGATGCTAGTAAATAAATGCCTGGAGCTGGGAGCTAGGAGCTTGACAACAAAAAACTTTTTCACGTTTTCTGAATTTTCAGGTCAGCTCCAAGCTCCAGCTCCCGACGTTGGCTTCGCTAAAGTTCTACTAGCTTTTTTCACGCTCATCCCGGATCTCGGTTTAGCCGGCTGCTTCCGTACCTTGCCAGCCCGTTTAAACCCCCAAACCAATTCCGCTGAACTTTCAAACCCCTCAAAAAACTGGGGAGTTCCCATCGTGCAGCTGTGTGGATATGCTATTTCTTAGCGACTCCGCGGGCCACGGCTCAAAAATGCGTCTCCCGAAATCATCAACCATCTGGCCCATAAGCCGACCGAGGAGGGGGAAGAAAGAAAGTGAGCGTGTGCCTGACTAAAAGGCACAAAGTCGTCTCCCTCGATTTCTTTTTCGGGATATGCGAATCGTCGCTTTTCACGGGGGGTTGGGGAGGGCCAGCTGTCCGAAATGGGGGTGGCCCAATGTCGCACACGCGCTTCCAGGGTTTTTTGGGCTTTGATGGTAGTGTTGGGAGTGAGAGGGGGAGAGATGAGAGAGAGAGCGAGAGAGAGAGAGAGAGAGAGAGAGAAAAACACACTCTCAATTCCGGGAACCAACACTGGACACCTGGCCTATTGGGGAGAAGGCATGATTTTACTATTCCGACTCGAAAAAATGGATTTCCTGAGGAAAGGAGCAAAAGAGAGCGAAATAGAGAACTAAATAGAGAGAGGGAGAGCGAGAGAGAGAAGTGGATAAGATTTTTCTCATTTTTGTACAGACCCAGTCAATCCACAGCTTTATATGCCTTCACCCTTCCTTTAAAAAGCCTCTAGGAACCGCCCATAAAAACCCCGACCGAAATTACCGGTAAGGCCCAATGGCAAACCTCTCGCTCGCTCTCTAAAGACTTTCCCCGGCCCGTCAGCTGCCCCCAAGGCCACACCAATAAATCTGGACGGCTAGAGAAAGCGGGAGAGAGGGAAAGAGAGAGAGAGTAGTCAGAGAGATAGAGAGAGGGCTATAGAAAAAGAGTACGCGAAGCAGTGGTGGCATCGCTCAAGTTGGCGGTGGGGGGGATGGCCGCTTTGAGCAATGGCCAATCTGAACAACCGGGGCCCCAAAATTCATTTTTATGCAAATTGCGGACTGGATCGGGTGGGAGTGGTGAAGAAGCGGAATCTGGGTGGCTAATTTGCCTGGTTTTAGTCGGCGTAGTGAAGTTAGGGGCTGCAAAAGTGAGTGAGGAAAAAATCTGTGCGGGCTTACTAGATTGCCATTCTGCCTTTTCCGAAAGCCACCTGAAGCTTCCCAAAAAGTCTCTACTAGCTTGCCCCTGCCGAAATTGACCCTTTTACGGCCTCCCGAGAGCGCAGCGCGGATCGTTGCGGAATTTATGGAACCCGTACGCATGCTAATCAGTGGCTGGAATCGAACCCTAACCATTCATGGACATTAGGCAAACAAACAGGCTGCCGAGCCTCTCTTTCTCTCTCTCTCTATCTCCGTCTCATAATTGCGCCATTTCTGGTGCATTTGGGGGGTTTTACAGCCCTCGAGAGCCACTTGGGCTTATCAAAATGAGAGTTGGAATGGGGGTAGGTAGCCGTTGCGTAATTAGTTATGGTGAGTGGACAAGTTGATACACCTGGGGTGGTGATATGTTTATTTGGAGGTGTGTTGCGTAAACATGGAGGGTAGACGAGCAGGGATCTTTGGGGAATTTTTGCAGGAAAAGCTGGTTCTCGATTTTCTGTTCCTGTCGGAGAGGGAGAATGGCTTCGCAAAGACTTTTTGATACCGTACCAGGGTTGAAAAGCCGCTTCGCGACTTTACAAACCCTGGCCCCAAGTATTAACCCTATGACGTTCTTCGTTTGGGTGTGAATAAAAAATTCCGGGTGGTTAATTTCATTTTAGTCACCCAGATCGGATGACAGAGAAAATGAATTATAAACGCTCCCTTTGGGCCTTTATTATAGGCTACTGCAACTTCCGGCGTATGCCAATTTTAATCCTAACAAAGTGGCTATCGAATTTCCCCTGCAGAAACTTAATTTTAATGGCCTCCCGAAAGCAGCGCCGATCGTTGCGAATTTATGGAACCAGTCCGATATAGTGTGCAGTCATCTCCAGCCCAGTACGCATCAAATGACGTTAGGAATCAAACACCTCCTCAAACCCGCTCCCTCTCTCGAGATATCCTCCGGACACCCTGACGGAAGTTGCATGCAAATGCACACACACAAACACTATTTTTTTTATATATAGTAGGATCCCGATTCCGAGCTGCTCCTCCTCTCCCCCATTCTAATCCCGAAACGTGCATAGTAGTGTCGGGTATAGGTGGGATGGCTAGAGAAATGAGCCGTACCCTCCCGGGGCTTACGGAGTTCAAAGGGTTCCACCGGCTCTTGCTCTTTCTCCTGCTCCCCAATTCCATTCCATACTAGCGCTTTTTGCGGGGATTCCGGCCGGCAGGAAAGCAATCGGTTTGACTCTCCCAATAGTTTTGGTGGGGGGAAGAGGCGGCAGTTTTAGGGGAGGTGAAGCTCAAATATTCGGTGGTATCAGGTTGTAAATGCGATGACTTTAGGTAATGTAAGCCTAAGCTAAGCCTAGGCTTGAACTTAATCTTCAGCCAAGTCCCAGCTTAAGTAGAACTCTTAGCTACCCTGAAAAAGCTTGAACGCGTTGCCGTCGCTTTGAGTCAAACTCCCAAAACACTTCCCACCCCAAATTCTGCCATGCTACTATGGTATGTGTGTTGGTTGATTGTGTGCTGTGTATGGGTACGAGGATGAACACACTCCCCCTTTACCCGTCCATGGTAATCAGCGTAGTTCCATCTTTCCATGTCTCTCTCTCTCACTCTCTATCTCTGTTGTGCCCTGGGGGCAGATAATCCAGTGGGGCAGCCTCAAGTGGCTCCGACCCCCGCTGCCCAAATCGTCGCAAATTGGCGTGTGGCGCAACGTTTCGACGCAGGGGATGGGGTCTGATGGTCGGATGGGGGCCACCAAACTGACCATAGCCAGAGAGAGAGAGAGAGAGAGAGGGAGAGAGATTGCGATACGGTCAGACCGGCGTAAATCCGATAATTTACCGCAATCCGGGGTGCCGCACATCTGCCGGAGGCAATTGGAAAGTTTTGGTGTCCGTATGGTGGAGCGTAATGGAATCCAAATTTTTGAGGAGGATTTTGCTTGGTTTTAGTCAGGTTAGGCTTGGGCTTGAGCTTAGGCCTTGGCTTGTGCCTAGACCTAGAATTGAGCTTAGGTTTGGGCTTGGACTTCGAATTCCTCCACCGTCGACTAAAACTCGTAAATCTGTGTAAAACCCATACGGAAAAACCGCTTTTGTCCCGTTTTGTTCAAGTTTCCCAAACTTTTTTGGGGGCGCGGGATCTCTGCCCTTTTTTGAGGTCCCTCGCACGCGCCTGGGAACCTAAAAAATGGGCGGGCACGAGCCGAAAACTGACAAAGATGTCAATTGGACGTCACGGGAACGGCTGAGCCTATATTTTGATGGGAATACGGTAAACAGAGGGGCCACCGGGTGGATGATGGGTTTGAAGGGGTATGCCTTCCCTGGTCTGCCATGGTAAATGTTGCCCCGGGCCACAAATACCGTAGGCCCACCCGGAAGGCAGGGCAAACAGAGGAGGGCGACTGCTTGGAGGGGGATAAAGGAATTTGGCCTTGGGGATGGTTGAATATTTACCTATGGGTATGGATATTAAAGGTGCTGGCTAGCAGGGATTATTGGGGAATGATGCGGAAATACGTAATTTTTTGCATACAAATTACTTATAAAACTGAAAGTTATTTTCGTATTTTTCTAAGCGTCTTTTTCTAAAAAAATATATTGAATGGCTTAAAGCTAGGGCTAAACAAGTTTTGGTACCGAAAAATGCTGTTCAGATGAGCGTAATTTTCATATTTTTTGGCAGCTATACCTTTTTATTCTTATAAAATATTTCAAAATCTCACTTTTTTGCTCCTCTCTACTCCCATCGGCCTATTATGACAACATTCCCGATCCATTATCTGGTATGCTAATCGACGTCTTTTGTCTTCTTTGTCTCGCGACTTGTCCCACCGTATCCCAATCATCCCCCCAAAAAATCTTGCCCTCTCCACGGGGGTCTATCGGTTGATATGTGGCTCTGGTTGGGCTCGGGGAGGAGATGGTCAATCTGATAGACACACTGCCCCTACAGGTACCCGTCACCCTCATTTGCATACGAAAAAAGAGCCGAGGATGGGAAAATTATTGAAAAAGTGCTAAATTCTTTTATAAGGCCCAAAATCATCAAAAATCTTTGCTAGCTGGCCCAAAAACGTCGACACCAAGGACCTCTGCTAGCTCGCCCAAAAAGATCCATTCCAATGATCTCTGCTAGCCTGCCCTTGTTTTCTCATTTGTTGATTGAAAACCTGCCATTCTAATATTTCCGCTTGCGTACATGCGCACGTCGTGCTCACGCAATCGTTCTCCTTGAAATGATCTCCTTCAGTCTCGGCCTCACCATAAGGGCCAGATGTGATCGAGTGATTCTAGATGGCGACCTAGCCCCTACAAATCGAAATAGGATATCTCTCTCCCTCTCTCTCCCTCTCTCTCACTCTCTCTCTCTCTCTCTCTCTCTTTCCTTATGAAATGTTTGCCTGCCAAGGGGGACAAGTGCCAAACATGGTCCGATACTTGACACACAGCGCACCCTAATCCTCTACCCCTTGGTCCTGGGGGTCTAGTAGCTCAGCTTCCGTTTTGGGGTGCAATATGGAAATTATTGACATATGGACGTTACTTCGCCGTGAAAACCTTATAAAGGCAGGCTAGCAGAGACCATTTCGGAACCATCTTCTCCCAGGTCTCGTCACTTACTACCCGGAAGGCACAAAGTACCTCATCCTCACCCCCCTAAATCCCCTCCTCCCCTCCCTAAATTGGTCGGTCACTTGTGCGCATTGAATAGGGCGGCACCCCAGGCGTGGTAAAGACGCGCTTCGGGGTCAAGTTTCCGCCAAAATACTGCCGACGGTCGACCCCCAGGGAGGGGGTAAGCCCGAGAAGGGGGCAGATGCCCACAATTATCCCTTCGGAGGTCTCCTTGAGGTGACCGTCCTCATCAACACAACAATCTGCAGCTATTTGGGGATGGATATTTTAAGAATTTGCATAGAATAATCGAAAATTCGCGAAAATCGCGATTTTTCCATCGTCTTCTATCGTTTTTCGGTCAAAACAACCTCACCGTGTGGGTGGTGCTCATATCCACCGGGCAAAAGTCGTAAAACCCAGGCGCGGGGCCGTCCGGGGGCAGGCGCTAATTGTGCCGTGGTGCGGGCAGCGAACGGCTACTTGCAAAAAACCTAGAAAAAACGGTCGGGGAACACCCGGGCTATAAACTCGGATGGCCTCTGGGGGTTTGGGAGTAGCCGGGTTGTTAGTTGTAAACAGGTAAAAATGGGGGTAGACAGATGGTAGATGAAGAAAATAGAGCGTAATGCTTAGGCTTAGGCTTAGGCTTAGGCTTAGGCTTAGGCTTAGGCTTAGGCTTAGGCTTAGGCTTAGGCTTAGGCTTAGGCTTAGGCTTAGGCTTAGGCTTAGGCTTAGGCATAGGACTAGGCTTGGGCTTAGTATTAGATTTAGGCTTAGGCTTATAATGGCTTCAGTTTCTCAAACACCTTTTCTAACCCCTTTACATTCGATTCCTGGAATATTGACATTCCCCATTTCGCGCTCAGGAATCCCCGACCCAATCAAATACCCAGATCAAAGCCATCTTTTTGCACATTGACTTCCCCCGCCGATCGTTCCGTTCAGATTTATGAGGCGAACACGAGATGGGAGAGGTGTTAGGAAAAAGGGGGCATCCGATTGTCCAAAACGACAGGTTCAAGGACCTCTCAATTCGGCATCGTCAATAGGAAATGATTTGAACATTCAGAAAAATTTAGTTTATTTAAATTCCTCGTAAGATTCGCTAAAATAGCTGTCGTGGTGGAATTCTTGAGCTTCTTCTTCTTCGGTTGATTCAATGTGCTTGGAATCTAGAAAAATTGGATTCGGATTCGGAAGAGAGAGAGAGAGAGAGAGAGAGGAGAGAGAGAGAGAAGCTCAAGATATAATTTCCCAGTATAGTCGGCTCTTAAAACAAAACTTTAAGGGCCAAAAACCAACCAATCTCCTCGAAACCGCCCGAAGCCGCACTCCGTGTCGTGTTTATCATGCTAAAATGTACTTTTTTTTGCCAAACAATAACCTACTATCTACAGTATGCCACCATAACCACAGCTAAAAATAGAAGAAAAACCCTGAATACGCGCATGTTTAACGCTGAAAAATATGGAACTAACCGCGAGGAGCAACGAGAGCAGCATCGCTCACCCGCGTTTTAATTGGGTGACGCGGCTTTGGTGGTTGGTGCCCATTTTTAGCGGGGATTCCCGTGCTGGAACACGGATTTTTGAGCTTGTTTTTGGGCGTCCGGGAGTTTGAGTTACTGTAATTCCGTTACGCTCCGGAGAGCCGACGGTCTCAAAGTTGGCCAGAGCGGAGCGATCAAAGAGTCAAAAGTCGTTGTTCTTGTATGATAGAGAGCGAGACAGTGGCCCGCACGGTCATCCCGCGCACTACACAACCATCCTCATTACGTAACAAGGGCCGGGGGCACATCCAAGGAATCTAGGTTGAGTCACCAAAGGGGCCAGAGTCGACTCAGTTACTTATTCAAAGGGGGGCCGGCGACCAGAGATTTTTGGGGGGCGGGGGAATGGATTTCGGTTTCCACGGGCTTTTGTAGCCTAATTTTCATACAAAAAAAATGGCAAAACCCCTAACCCTCGGCCCGAGCCTAACCGATACACTAATTTGCATATTTGCCTACTAAACCAAATAATTCAGCTTCAAGTCCCCACTAACCTCTCCGAACCTTCCTCAATCCCCTTAATCCATGCCCTAATTTGCATATCTGCCCGGCAACCTGTATACCCGAAAAGAGCGGTCCCATGCCTTTTGCCCTCAAATTATTTGCCCAGCTGTTGCTTGTGTATCCACCCTCCCTCTCATCTATCACAACCCCAAATTAGCCACATACAGCCATCAACTATAATAATTTTCTTGAGGTGTCTGTCCGTCTGTCTGTCTGTGCGTCATGTCCCAGATTCAACTCGAAGGGGAAAGGAGCTAGAGCTTAGCTCTCTTCGGATTCGGATAGAGCGTCATCAGAAACCCCAAACTGATAAAAAATTACGAAAAAGTTTTAATTTAAATTATTAAAATTAACTTTAAAGGTTTTTCCTTAGTAAAGGGGTGGGGGACGGAGGTTGGGTGATTTTGGGCATAGTGAGCCAGGTCGCGCGGTTTCGTGGTTGAAAATTTTCACGGGGTTTCATTTCTTTTTTCTCATTCCATCCGGTCGGTCGTTATTTTCGTTTTTAAAGGATTTCGGCTAGGGAGGTATCTAAAGCCATCAGGAAGGTATTTGGTAGTTTTTGAAGGGTTTCGGCTAGGGAGGTATCTTAGCCATCGTGGGAAGGTATCTGGGTAGTTTTGAGGGGATTTCGGTAGGGAGGTATCTTAAGCCATCGGGAAGGGGTATCTAGGTAGTTTTGAAGGGGGATTTCGGCTAGGGAGGTATCTTAAGCCATCGGGAAGGTATCGAGGTAGTTTTGAAGGGATTTCGGCTAGGAGGTATCTTAAGCCATCGGGAAGGTATCTGGGTAGTTTTGAAGGGATTTCGTGCAGGAGGTATCTTAAGCCATCAGGAGAGGGTGTCTAGGTAATTTTGAAGGGAGTTTCGGCTGGGGAGGTATCTGAGGCCATCGGGAAGGTATCTAGGTAGTTTTGAAGGGTTTCGGCCAGGGGGGGTATCTTGAAGCCAATCGGGAGGTATCTAGGTAGTTTTGGAAGGATTTCAGCTGTGGGAGGTATCTGAGGCCATCGGGGTATCTGGGTAGTTTTGAAGAGGATTTCCGCTGGGGAGGTATCTTAAGCCATCGGGGAAGGTATCTAGGTAGTTTTGAAGTTTCGGCCATGTAGGGGGTATCTGAGGCCATCAGGAAGGTATCTAGGTAGTTTTTGAAGGGTTTCAGCCATGTGGAGGTATCTGAAGCCATCGGAATGTGTTCCGGTAGTTTTGAAGGGGATTTCAGCCATGGGGGTATCTGAGGCCATCAGAATGTATTTCGGTAGTTTTGAGGGTTTCAGCTGGGGGAGGTATCTTAAGCCATCAGGGAGGTATTTGGGTAGTTTTGAGAGGGTTTCAGCCATGGGGGGTATCTGAGGCCATCGGGAAGGTATTTAGGTGGTTTTGAGGGGGGTTTCGCTATCGGCAGCATTGATGAAGTGGGAATGGATGTGGTGG